ACAGGTTTGCCTTTCGCAAGATTTCTCTCTTAGAATTTTGGTCCAGGGAAGGTCCAACTACATATATATAGCCATAGACACACACACATACACAATTAAGATTGAATCTATATATTCCATGCTTGTGATTTAGTAGCGAAACAATGGGGCATACTAGCCTGAGCAAATTAAATTAATCGTTTCCGTAATTACTTTTTCCTTTGGTATTTTGACGTTGGTGCCCTAGCAAAATTTTAGGATAAGTGATGGAAGGGTATAGTAAGCTAACAGATCTAGAATAAAATAGATATTGTTGGGGAAGATACTCGAGTGATCAGAGAGATGTGAGATGCTCATTCAGTTGTGTAAAAAGCTACAAGAGTCTGGTTATAAGTTTTACCTGCAGTACTTAATTGTGGCAATCTACATCTTATTTTGATTATATTCTTCCAGGAACCTCGCATGGAAGTAATGTCTCCTGGATCAAAGAATCTACAGACTTATTTAGTGAACAGAATGTTGGTTTATGTGTACCGAGAATTTTTGAAGCGTGGTGGGGGGGGCCACCCAATTCCTGCAGATGAGCTGTCTTTCTTATTTTCTAACTTGACAGATGCAATCATCAAGAGGAATATGAAAGTTTGTGCTAATTTGAAGGTATCTCATCATATTATCACTTCCGCATAAGCAGCAGCATCTAGAGTTGCACACTTGCGTTTTCTCTTTTTTTTTTCTTATTGCGTCATCATGCTTATGTATCATGCTGATCTATTACATGGACGTACACAATGCAGAGGGATAAAAATGGCCAGTCTTATTGGGCCAAAAAACCTGGTTTAAAAGATCCAGCTGAGAATGAGCTGAAAAAGCTTGTAGCACCAGAGCATGTAAGTTTCTCCTTTGGGGTCATTTCATTGGTTTATACACCACTCTGTTTTCCACTGTCCAAAGTTGCATTAAATGGAAAGATGCATGATATTCTCTATTTTGTTGGCCTAGGTATGTTCTTATGAAAGTATGCTAGCTGGGCTGTATCGGCTCAAACATTTAGGGATCACCCGGTTTACATTGCCAGCCAGCATATCAACTGCATTGGCTCAGCTCCCAGACGAAGCTATTGCTCTTGCTGCTGCATCACATATTGAGCGGGAGTTGCAGATTACTCCATGGAATCTGAGCAGTAATTTTGTTGCTTGTACAAATCAGGTGGGCATCACTTATCTATATTTGGGAGTTAGTAGTTACCTAGCCAGTGATTATTATCTGTAATTTATGTTAGGAACTTGGGAGTTAGTCATCCCTAATCAATAATCCGTAAAAGTCGTGTTTATTCTTGGTTCTCTTATAGATACGCCAGGGTGATACATTATTAGTTCTTTGCAAACAAGACTATAATCTATTTCAAAATCTATCTTCTCTAGTTTTGTAAAGAACCTTTCTGAATCTTGTCAGTGGAAGTGGATTTGATACTGCTAATCAGTCATTGCTCATGCTTTCGTTACTTATCAGTCATCCCTCATGCTTGCGTTACTTGGCTGGTTCAATACTCACATGTCTGATTTTCATTTGTTGGTTTGAGTAGGACAGAGCAAATATAGAGCGGTTGGAAATTACTGGGGTTGGTGATCCCTCTGGACGGGGTCTAGGATTCAGCTACGTCAGAGCTGCGCCAAAAGCACCAGCTGCAGCCGGGCATATGAAGAAAAAGGCAGCAGCCGGCCGTGGAGCCCCAACTGTCACTGGTACAGATGCTGATCTTCGCAGATTAAGCATGGAAGCAGCTCGAGAGGTACACTTCTTTGGTTCAGATGTCTAGCCTCTAGGAACCTAAAAATACTTACAAATTGCCCATTTTCTTCTAAACTATTACTAAAGTAAATCCCATCGAAAATTTGAAAATAAGATATGGTTTGGCTGTTATCTTTATAGGTTCTTATCAAGTTTAATGTCCCTGATGATATAATTGCCAAGCAAACTCGATGGCATCGTATAGCTATGATACGGAAGCTATCAAGTGAGCAGGCTGCATCCGGTGTTAAGGTTGACCCTACAACCATAGGCAAGTATGCTCGTGGCCAGAGAATGTCTTTCCTGCAGATGCAACAGCAGGCCCGAGAAAAGTGTCAGGAGATTTGGGATAGACAGCTTTTGTCCCTTTCAGCTTTTGATGGTGATGAGAATGAAAGCGAAAATGAGGCGAATAGTGACTTGGACTCCTTTGCCGGAGATCTGGAAAATCTACTTGATGCTGAGGAAGGTGGGGAGGGGGAAGAATCTAATATGTCTAAGACTGACAAGTTGGATGGAGTAAAGGGTCTCAAGATGAGACGGCGGCCATCTCAAGTTGAGACAGACGAAGAGATTGAAGATGAAGCTACTGAATATGCAGAGTTATGCCGACTGCTGATGCAAGGTACTTGCTTTCAACTAAGCATTTGTGCTATTAGCTTAAGGTTCATTTTGTCAATAAATCACTGACTCGTGATGCTTATTTAGATGAGGATCAGAAGAAGAAAAAGAAGAAGATGAAAGGTGTGGGAGAGGGAATGGCATCCTTTCCTCCTCCACGACCCAATATAGCTTTTCAGACAGGTGAACCTGTAAGAAAGGCCAATGCCATGGACAAGAAACCTATTGCCATCCAACCTGATGCATCGTTCTTAGTAAATGAGAGCAACATCAAAGACAACAGAAATGTCAGTACAAGTTTAAATTTTTTAAAAATCCTTTGCTCTTGCTTTCTTTAATTACTGTGTCAAACCATGATGTTTTGCATGTCTTGACCAACTCGTATCTTCATTGGCAGGTTGATACTATTATAAAGACCCCCAAAGGTAAACAGGTAAAAGAGAGCAGCAATACTTTGGGCCAGCTGAAGAAGGTCAAAATACTGAACGAAAACCTAAAGGTACAATCAAATCAGTATAGCATGTATAAAATTTAGTTTATGGTCATTCTGAGGTGTTGCCTGTTCTTTGGTCTAAACCAGGTATTCAAGGAAAAGAAATCGGCGCGAGAGAACTTTGTTTGTGGAGCCTGTGGTCAGGTATAATTACTTATTAGACTAGATTTTGAATCTAAACTTATTTCTTAGAGAAAAGTGTTTAATATTATCTTTATGGCCAGCATGGACACATGAGAACCAATAAACACTGCCCAAGATACAGAGAAAATACAGAATCACAAACCGAAGGCATAGATATGGATAAGTCTGCCGGAAAACCGAGCTCTTCAGAACCATCAGGTCTGCCAAAGCTGAAACCTATTAAGAACAGCAAGGCTGCGCCAAAAAGTGCAATGAAAACTTCTGTAGATGAAGCTCTGAAGGGAGATAATTCAACTTCCAAAACTGGGGGTCTCCCTCTGAAGTTTAGATATGGTATCCCCACTGGAGATTTGTCAGATAAACCTGTTTCTGAAGCTCCAGGAACTTCTGAGCAAGCGGTGGTGTCTGACATAGACATTGGGACTAAGTCCACATCTAGGATCAGCAAACTGAAGATTTCAAGCAAGGCAAAACCTAAAGAATCAAAGGTTGAATCTGAAAGACCTTCGCATTCATTGATGCCTACATTTAGCAGAGAGAGAGGGGAGAGCGAATCACACAAGCCTTCTGTCTCTGGACAACCCTTGTCTAGTACAGAGAGAATTCAGGCAGCCTCAAGCAGGCACACTATTTCTATCCCGCGGCCATCATTAAGCATGGACACAGATCAAGCTGAATCGCGTAGGCCTCATCTTGTGATACGACCGCCGACAGAAAGAGAACAGCCTCAGAAGAAACTTGTTATAAAACGTTCGAAAGAAATAAATGATCATGACATGAGTAGTCTTGAAGAGAGTCCCCGGTTTGAGTCCCGGAAAACAAAAAGAATGGCAGAACTAGCGGGTTTTCAGAGGCAGCAAAGCTTCAGATTGTCAGAGAACTCTCTAGAGCGGAGACCAAAAGAGGATAGAGTATGGTGGGAAGAAGAGGAAATAAGTACGGGAAGACATAGGGAAGTTATGGTGAGAAGAGATTATGATGATATGACTGTATCAGAAGAACCCAATGAGATAGCTGAGATCAGAAGATACGAAGAGGTAATACGGAGTGAGAGGGAGGAAGAGGAACGACAAAAAGCCAAGAAGAAAAAGAAGAAAAAGAAACTGCAACCCGAATTAGTAGAAGGGTATCTAGAAGACTATCCTCCTCGTAAAAACGATAGGAGATTGTCAGAAAGAGGTCGGAACGTCAGAAGCCGCTATGTCTCCGACTTTGAAAGAGATGGTGCAGAGTATGCGCCTCAACCAAAACGACGCAAAAAAGGAGAGGTAAAATTCTCTTTGCATTTTACTTTTTTCAGTTGAAGTTATTGCTCTATAGCCATGTAGCACACTTTCATGTGTCTACATATCCTCATCTTTGTTTTCTCTCCTCTATTCATTGACCAACAGGTTGGCCTAGCAAACATCTTGGAACGCATAGTGGACACACTAAGACTAAAAGAAGAAGTGTCACGTCTCTTCTTGAAACCAGTATCCAAGAAGGAGGCTCCAGATTATCTTGATGTCGTGGAAAACCCGATGGATCTCTCGACAATCCGGGATAAGGTACGAAAGATAGAGTACAGAAACCGAGAACAGTTTAGACACGATGTCTGGCAGATAAAGTACAATGCTCATCTTTACAACGATGGACGTAACCCAGGAATACCACCTTTGGCAGATCAGTTGCTGGAGATTTGTGATTACTTGTTGGATGATTATGAAGAGCAGTTAAAAGAAGCAGAGAAAGGTATAGATCCAAATGACTGAGAATATTGTAAGATAGAATCTGTATCACCCTCTTTAGTCCCCCAAAATGGGTTTTTCTTAGCTTAGCTCATGATTTGTACGAATAGAAGAAACAATTGCCATATCTGTGTAAAAAAGCTGAAGTAATGAAAAAAAAAAAAAAATCTTTCTTCTGTTGTAAAATTTTGAGGGCTTACATGAAATTTATATCTTCAACAAAAAAATAATTTGTTTTTGAATTCATTTTTCCTAAAATGTTTTTATGTACATTACAATAACAACCTAATGGGCTTGAAGTAGGCCCATTTAGCCAAGGATAGCTTCAACACTTGAATTTCGCAACGTGAGACACAACGGGCAAGCTAGAGCTGTCCGGTCACATTCCGGGCATATGCTCAGATGCCGACATGGTAACAAAACTACCGTCGCTTCCCTTTTCCGGCAAGCTTTGCAACTCGGCCGTCTCATCCTCTCCGGATCGACGTACACCGACTCGGCGTCGTCCAATCCGCTGATTCCCGCAGTGCCTTCCTCCGCCGCTCTACTATCCTGCGCCGATACATGTTCACCGGCGCATCGGTTAACTGCCTGCTGAAGCTGAGCTTGCAGCGACGCGGCGGCGGCTTCGTGCGTCTTAGCTCTCTCTTGCCATGCTTGCACCTCCGCTCTCAGCTGCGAGTCACGCGCCACCAGCTCATTGTGACGGCGCGTGGCTCTCTCTATCTCTGCTTCTTTCTCCCTCAGCTTACGTACCAACGGCTCTTCCACAGCACCAAGAAGCGCGTTATAGTGCCTCTTCCTCTTCTCAGCTAATGTGCGCCGTATCTCGTCCGCCTAATTAAAAAAAAAAGTTTTTAACTTTCCGGTGAGAACAAAATCAAAACTTTTCAGAAACCCAATTCATCTCAGACGAAATCAAAACCTGGGCATGAAGAAACTCATCAAGTTCTTCGCTTTGCCTATTGATATATGCAGCAAAAACATCTTCAGACGAATCGGAGACAAAACTTAGCTGGTGACTAATCTTTTGTGTCTGTTCTTCGCCGGAAAATAACCGGAGTCCTGTATGAACCATATTCGACGGTGGATGATTATGGTTGTGTAATAAAGATAAGTCTATAACTTGAGGAAACTGATGAGACTGCATAGGTAAGAACTGATGATTGTTCGTTTCTCTTCTTCTTTTTCTCTGATTAAAACCTATAAGAGACATACACACACATTCTCATTTTGTCAAACGATTTTTGAAGTTTTTAATGGAATATAATAGAACTTTTTACTAACTTCCATTGTTGTATAACATATTGGTTTGATCAAGAAAATCTCCAGCTTGTGATTGTAATGTAAAATTATCTTCTTTCTCTTTCCCGTTTCTGTTCACACAAAACCGTAATCAGTAAAAGAGAAAGAAAAAAAACATAAATAATGTAAAATTAACAGAGAAAATGAACCTTTTATTGAAGAAGATGAGATTAGAGGAATGGTGTTGAGCTTGAAGTGCCATTTTAAGAGAAGAGAAGAAATTTAATGATACAAAAGCTCTATCAATATCATGATCATCATCTTAACGTATTTGAAGTCTGTCTATGTTTTCTTCTGCACCTTTCACTCTCTCTATAAATGTCTAAAAATATAGGTTTAATAATAGAGAAAGAGTGTTTCTTTAGAGTTGGGTTTGTTCGTTTTGGTTCTCTTCTTCTTATGCTTTGGCTTTTTCTTTAGGATTCTCTCTCTCGTGTCTTCAACCACGCCATTACTCTCGCATATTCCAAGAAAAAACAAAAAAAAATAAAGTGTAAATAAAAAAACGGAAATCGATATTTGTACTGTTTATTCGGTGACCAAGTTTTTGATAGTGGTAATGTATTAAAAAGTAAACTATTTTGTAATTTCTTACTACAAAAGAGGGAAAAAAACATTGTTTTCTACAAACGATTTTTCTTTTTCAAATGTAAATAAGATATTTAAAAAGTTTGGAATTTTATGCAAATGCTCTATTTTAACTAAAGAAAGATATGTAATGATTTAAATAAAATTTGCTTAGCAAAAAGAAAATGAAGGTGCAAGTCACTAATCATAACATGTGTGAGACTTGCTTGATTTCTTTCCTTAGCACACTAGTTAACATAATTACATCATTAGACAACTACTTCTTCCCACCTTTCCTTTTTCTATATTACTATTCGTTTATCTTTGAATATTTCACTCATTTTTTGTTTTTTGTTGATAGTTTGGTGACATTAGTTACTCTTGGTTTTTCATCTCTTTTACATTTTTTGTAATGGATAATATCATAAGCAATATGTTAAAAGTTAACAAAAATACATGAGTTAACGTGTAAATGAGGAAACAAAATTTTCAGTCAACATATTAAAAGTGATTAACAAAAAAAAGAAGTGAATTTGATATATTATATTTTATTATATATCTGAGAAAAATCATGTAGATTCAAATATCAATTAAAAAAGAATCATGCAAATGATGTAAAATAAAAGGAAAAAAAATTAACTAAGAAGTTTCGGATTTAAACCTACAATCTCTTCTAATAAATGACTAATACATACTCCCTCCGTTTCATAATATAAGACGTTTTGGAGAAATTTTTTTGTTTCACAATATAAGTCGTTTTCAAGTTTTTATGCAAATTATATATTATTTTAATATTTTATGATTATTTATATTATGCAGTCTCTTTTATGATTGGTTGAATTTTTAAAAAGTAGATCTTCTTAATCTGCGTGCTTTTAGCTAAAACGATTTATATTAAGAAACGGAGGGAGTATTAATTTAGTTTCTTTTACGCCGTTGATGAACTCGACATCTTTTTGGCGTATACGCTGATGAAGGTACCAAAAACGAGTATTAAATGGGTTATATTATTAATTTATAAAAAGAATTATTACATAATAAAATAAAGAATTATTACATAATTATCTTACAATTAACAATTGTTAGACCAACCCTTGTAGAAACTTAGGTGGTAATTAATAAAAATAAATTAACTTAACTTATAATGAGCTCATATGAGTTGTTTGATCCTCAAGTCCCAACCACCAACCCATTCAACATGTTTCCAGTTGGTTTGCATAATGAATAATCTACACACACGAGACAACATGCATATATGAATAAGATATATATGGTTCAAATTGGAAACAAACTAAACGTTATTTTTACTTTTTATTTCCACAAAAACTTTTGGATCTGTTTTCATCGATAGTGGAATTGGGGCAGCAAAACAAAATTAGAATGGGAAAAATGTCGTTTAATAGGCGAACTTTAAAAAAATGGCCGTTTAATACGTGAACTTCTTATATGGCCATTTAAACATGAAGTAAACGTTGACCGGCCAATTTAAACATGAAGTATTCGTTGACCAGGCCAAAAACTACACACCGTTATCTGTCGTTAACAGATCCGATAACAGCCGTTTAACTCTCGTTAACGATTCCGTTATTGCCTAAACGACGTCGTTTTGGGCTTAATCTGAACCCCGAAAATCCCCAAATTGATTTTCAAATCCCTAATTCTGAAAAATCCCCAAAATTAAAAATTTAAGGCCGATTTTCGAGGCGAAGCAGAGAGTGTTGTGGATGCTGGAGTTGAAGCTCGAGGCGAATCTGAGATTGTTGTCGGAGACGGAGTTCAAGCTCCACCGACGGAAGCGTTTCAGAGCTAGGTGGCAGAGATGGAATTCTAGTTCAACCGAATATCGGAGACAAAGCTCGTGGCCGGCGTCAAAAACGAAGAAAACGACGTCGATTTGGGGATTTAGGGATTTCGATTAAGCCTAAAACGACGTCGTTTTAGGTAATAACAGAATCGTTAACGGTTATTATCGGATCTGTTAACGACAGATAACGGCGTGTGGTTTTTGGCCTGGTCAACGAATACTTCATGTTTAAATTGGCCGGTCAACGTTTACTTCATGTTTAAATTGGCCATATAAGAAGTTCACGTATTAAACGGCCATTTTTTGAAAGTTCGGCTATTAAACGACATTTTTCCCAAATTAGAATCTAAAAGTTTGGTTTTAGTCGTTTTCAATTATACGTGTTGAAAATAGCCTATGAATTATGATGATGGATGGATTCTTTCCAAAAAAGACCGGTTTAATTAGACTCAGCGGTTATCAAATACCAATACCAAACCAAACCAACTATTTATTAAAGTCAATAGAAAATTCTACAAAATAATTTTTCCATCTCTATGAGTTGCAATTTTGAATCTAACAAGCAACATACAGTGAAAAAATCCAATGAGATAGAGTCAACATCTTTATCCATTGCTGAGTTCTAACATCTAAATGATGCTCAACACTACTTTGCAAGAATATCTCGAGTCTTGAGTCTTCAAGATCAGATTTGAGGGATGTTTGATCATTGTACAATACCTTGATCACAAAAGATCTTGAGTTTTTCTCTTCACACAAACTTTCAATTCATCAACGGATGTTCTCGACTTCACAACATTTCCACTCTGTCAAAAGATTGGAGACTCTCAGCGATTCTTTGAAGTGCATCTTCGCTCATCTCAACTTCTCGGACAGTAGCAGGAAAAACCTTGTTCTCCTCGGAAGTAGCAGTGGAAGAAACTTGACCACAGAGCTTTGCTTTCATCTCTAAGCAAGATTTGAGATCCTCTTCGGTTCTTGCTTTGTTCAGTTTATCGATTATTTCATTCAAAGCTGAACCTTTTTCCTCCCATTTCTTTCTTTTGATCCGCCTTTTGATTTCATCTTGATCATCTGAAGAACTGCCTAAATCCGGTCTCTTAAGCTTCACCAAACCGGCTTTGACAGTCTCCGCGATCCTCTTCTTGAAGCTCTCTGTTCTTGCGGAGTTCGATCTCAGCCTCAGTTTAAGCTCTGAAACAATACTTTCCTCGTTGTTTAGCTCAGAAGCTGCTGCTCCATGAACCTCTTCATCAGGAACAGATGTAAATGAAATTGCTTCTTCGAGTAAATTCACATTACTCATGTACCGATCAAAAGCTTCATTTTCTACTTCAATGTTTCTGTCTCTGTACTCTTTTAGCTTTGTAAACCGCCACTCGTTTAAAGCTTGTGCATCCTATAGAATATAGACAGAACAATAACTGAGAAGAGGAAAACAACTAAATGGAGATTTTTCATAGAGTACTAAAGTCAATGAAGTACGTCTTAACTAGTATACCTTTATCGTCAAAGGTTTTCTCTGGCGGGAAGAAGCATTCAGGTTATTAAACTGAGCAAAGTTGCTAGAAAGTTGGCGGATGGACGAAACTCTAGTTGTACTCCTGAAGCAGTTTCCAATAGAAGAAAATGTCAACATAAAGAGCCATATATTAGTTCCACCGATATACCATCTCAGTATCAACTATATGCAATAAACAAGAAAGCTGACAAATGTCCTAACAAAGTAAGCAAACACATGGTTTATCATCTAAGATTCATTTGCCCATGGAAGCACGAAAAGAAAATAAGGAAACTGGTTTGTATATATGTACCCGGGAGTGCCCTCGGATGCTTTCTGCTCTGATGATGGAGTACTTGGTGCCTGCGTCTTCTCACCAGAAGTTGAAGCTACTTTAAGAACTGCAGAAGCATAAACACGTAAGCCGAAACACAAAACAGTCCACAATAACAATGCAGGTCTCAAAGAATCAGCTTTCCACTACTCTCTTCTCTTGTTCCAGGTTCTCTATATGAAACCTATACAAGTTATGCACACTATACTCTAAACTTACCAAGTGAAAGAAACAATGACAAGAACTCCCCTATCAAAGTTATCAACACTATACTCTAAATCTGATTTCATAAGCTAATTATTGTCGGGGAAACCATACCGTGAATCGGGCAAGGGTTCTCTGCTCTTGAACAACAACCCTTACAAGATTGAAATGGACACCTGCATTGAACACATCCAAGCAATAACATCAATAAACCAAAATCACTCCTAATCATCTCAAAAAACTGATCTTTCGAAACTAAAGCTCAAAACTTTAAACAATCTCAAGACTTTTTAAACAGATCAATCACCAGATCATGAATAAAAACCCAAACCCACCAACTTATAAACCCTAAATCAAAACAAAACCGTAGTATACAAGACAAATTCGATTCCTTTCAAGATCAAAAACCCAAGAACCATCCTTAAATCCAAATCCCTAGACGAAAACAAAGCAAAGAAGCAAGACCTGGAGCGAGCGACGTTGCCGCATTGAATACACTTAGGCTTATTGAGACCACGGAGAGTCTTAGGAGGCGTGACGACGGAGGAAAGACCATTGTTACTCAGAGACGGTGACGACGCCATCTTTCTTCTTCACCGGAGATAAAAAGAAACGGTACTTTAACGGTCTGAATTAAAACCGTTATTGACGAAAGAGAAAGCTAACGACCAAAAAACTCGTGCGAGTTGGAATCGAAAGGATTGGTTTTTATTTTTTTTGTCGCTCTGATTTTGCTAAGTGCTCTCTCTTCTCTTACGCTCGATTTCGCGGCGGGTCTAGGGCTCCGGTTATTAAAATTAGCCACGAGAGTCGGTTTTTATGGGCCTGGGTTTGAAAGCCCAATACAATTTCTTTTAAAATTGAACCGAACTTAACCAAATCAATGAACTTAATCCGGATATGTTGATCAGAAATTCAGAATTATCAGATTATCCAAGTTTTTTCTTTCTTTTTCTTTTTTTTCGTGTTTTTATTTTTTAACATAGTAAGAAGTTCATAAATCTTGAACCCATAATAATTTCAATACAAGCCCGCAAATCCATGTTTCCTAGCCCAAGTAATTAGGTTAGACCTAGCACATAGATTCATATATAAATAGACATGTTATGAACAATAACATCAATCAAAGTAATTTAGGGTTGCCGTTTGAAAAAAAAAAACTCTTTTTCTTCATCATCTCTTCTTCATATAGCTTCAACAAAAAGGAGAAATCATTCTACCTATTGACGTGTACCTTGAAGATTTGATTTGGACCTATAATTTGGTATCAAAGCTTCTATATTGAAGCTTAATGTTTTGGTTAAAATGCCACTTTTTTTGTAAATTTCAATTGATATCGTATTCATCTTATTGTTAGCGTATATCCAGAAATAATCTGGAAACAGAAGAAAAAGGATTTTATAGACATGATTTGATTAATAGTTTTTTTGATTTAGCATTGGTTTTACTAGTGTGGATAGTCTACACAACGACCAGAGCAATTTAAAGGCTTTGATTTTATTCGTTTAGGCAAACTGAGTTACCAAGATCGCTATTAATTACACTTACACATAGACGTTTATATCTATTAGACCATCTTCAAAGAGACACCAAAACACCAAATTTGAACTCCAACAATTGACTCTATAATGGATGGTATCTTTTTTTTTTTGGTATTTTGTGAACAATGTGACTATATTTGTTTTGTAACACTGTTCACAAAACACTAAAAACAAATATTATTATTTTATTTTTGTTTTTATTTAGTTTTATATTTAAATTGTTGTTTATCAAATAAAATACAAGTATACTATCAATATTTTTGTGTGTTTTCATTTTTAATAATATGAAATTTTAATTAAAATTAATGAGACAACAATATGAACTTTTCATTAAAATTAATATGAGACAATAAATTTCTATTGTTTTTAATTTATCGATTGTAATCTTATATTAATTAAATTAAAATAAATCAGTTTTAAAAATAATTGTTCACCAAAGTTATAAATGCACTATTAAAAATGAAGAGAATTTTAAATTTGATAATATAATAAAAAATGTTTTGTTTTTGATGTGAGATTTAGTGTTATGGCTGGAGATGAAAAAAAATTGGAACACCAAATTTGGTATTCCATAGTTGGAGTTGCTCTTAGATGAGTAGCCGGTGTCACCACTGACTGGATTTGCACTGAAACGGATGATTGCTTTCTTTCTCAACTGACATATAAACAGAAGATGCTGAAGAAAGCTTTAAGAACACTAAACAAACCAAACTTTGCTCAATTAAAAGAGAGTATGTGAGGCTAACCATTTGCTTGATCTTGCGCAGTTACATTCTCTTAATCAGCCTAGCCAAATCTGCTTCCAAGAAGAAAGAGCATGCCTTACTACTAATCCGCAGTTCTTGCGCACGTATAACTATTTATCAACGTGTTTATTATTTTTTGTATGAATTATCAATGTGTTTATTATTTTCTGTTGCATAACAACTATTCCCTCTATATCATAAAAAATGATTTTTGAGGTTTTATTTTTGTATCAAAAAGATTGATTTTCTGTAAATTTTTATCAATTAATAAATTATGAATTTTAAGAATCATTAATTGAGAATTTTAAAATTTGATAAATTACTATTGGTTAATAGTTATGAAAAATAGTTTAGTATGAATAAATAGTGCATTTATAACTTTGGTGAAAGCTTCATTGGGTCGATCCTTGGATAAAGATGACTGTTCTTGTGATGTTATTGAGATGAATCAATATCCATCGGAGCCTGATGATTTTGATATGAACAATTACCTAAATTACATGAATCGAAATATGTATAAATTTCGAGGCAAATATATAGTTATCCCACTCCTGAAGGTAACATGTAATTCTGATTTCTAGCTAAATCTTATGGTAATAATTAATAATTAATGTCATCATTTTACAAGCTTGTTTTTGGTTCTTCTCAGACGAAGTGGACCTAGACGGGAATGTGACAATAAGGTGGGACTTTATGAATGAATATAAGTCGTGATAGTTTTACGGCTAATGTCACAATCTTCAACTATTTGAAGAAGCAAAAAGACATTGAAGGGCCATGGGAATTAGGGTGGACATGGTACGAAGACGAAATTCTATTGAGCACTATGGGTGCTAAAGTTTCAAAACAAAGTAATGTTTTGAAATTTGTAGACTGCTGCCTGCATAGGGTGACTTTTGTGGACTTACCCCAACAAACTGATGATGACCACCGAAATGTAGCAAACTGTTGCAAGGATGGTGTCATTCCTTCATGGTTTAGAGAAGCCGACCTTGCGAAAAGCTCTTCTTCATTCCAAATTACTGTTGGCCAAGTTGGCATAGAATTTCATCCCCCGCCATTAGACTTGAAGTTGACCACACAAGGATTGGAATACGTATGTGATTCGTTGACGGAAGTAATGAATACTCCGGGTTATCTAAGTAAGTTCATTTATTTGTTGGCACATCCTATAACCTATGTGGCTATGTCTTACATAAGCTTTTACTATGTTCCTTTTATTTTGTAGATGCGTGGATGACGACGTGCAATCTCTACGACCTTAAAATGTTCCACGAGAAGTTTTGGGTGTCTTATTTTTATTTTATTTTTTTATCTGTTGCCTTTTTTGTGTTTTCATCTCTTATTGTTTTAAAAATTATTGTTATGTACGTGTTTAATTCCACCAGATTCATGACAAATTAAAGAAGAGATATGAAGTTGTGGTGTTCTTTATTTTAGGCGGTTAGTTTTTGGTCTTTTCATCTTTTTATCCAGAAAGTGTCTTCTTATTTGATTTATCTACATATCTATGCATATTATGCAGCGATAACTTAGAGACTCTAAGTTGTACGGTTAGAGTCCGTACCAAAATCACCTGAAAGCTGTGATAATGCTAGACACTAGTTTAATTTTAATAGAACTAGCTTGTCTCACATGTATGGTATACCAAATTAGTCTCAAATCGATTACGATCGAAGAAGATGAGAGAAAGTTTGTTAGAGATTTGAAATTGATAATTTCTCATTAGCCGTAAATATTGTTTGGGAAAATCACATTTTTAACCCTCAAAGTGTCATTGGGTAGCACTTTAAACCTCGAAAGAATTCTACTAACACTATTAACCACCAAAATAATTTTACTAACACTTTATACCTCTAAACTAGCTTTCATGTTTGCACAGCCACAAAATATGATGGAATAATTAATTTATGTTGGTTTAATATAAATTTATTTAATTTTAATTAATTTTATTATTTATTATGATTTTACGATTATTAAGAAAAGTAAAATAAAAATAGATTCCTCCGCTACGGGGAATGCTCGTTTTTTTGACTAAACTTCAATAATCTTTGGTTTTTATTATTCTATTTAAGCTTCTCTTGTATCTCATATTCTACATTATTTAGTTTCTATTATTATACTATAAACTTCTTTTGTGCTTAAGTCTATAGTTTCAAATGTTTAATTTTGAAATTTCATAGTCGAACGGTGAGTAAACAAAGAAGGTGATTTTTTTTTTTGTCTTTTTTAGATTTTTATTAATTGTAATAAATAATAAAATTAATTTTAATTTTAATTAAATTAAATAAATAAATATTAAACAAATAGAAATTAAATTTTTCATCATTTTTTATGGCGGGACAAACAGAAAAGCTAGTTTGGAGGCTTAAAGTGTTAGTAAAATTATTTTGGTGGTTTATAGTGTTAGTGAAATACTTTCGAGGTTTAAAGTGCTACCCAGTAACACTTTGAAGGTTAAAAATGTGTTTTTCTCAATATTGTTTATCTGTACAACGTATATATATTATAGCTATAGCCTATACACAAGCTATACATGGTTAAATAAGAACAACGGACTAAACCAACTTAACCGGAACATATAACCTGATAAACTCCTCTTGCTCTTGTAACAATGTTTTTCCCAATATTGTTTATCTGTACAACGTATATATATTGTAGTTATAGCCTATACACAAGCTATACATGGTTAAATAAAACCAACAGACTAAACCAACTTAACCGGAACATATAACCTGATAAAATCCTCTTGCTCTTGTAACAATGTTGATTTGTTACTATTCAGATTAGCGACTTAGGCAGAAAGTTGTCTTCCTTCCCGGCCTCCACTGAAGGATTTGGAGTCTCTCAAGATATTGTAAGTTGACCTAAAATTATCCATCTTGTATTTAGTTAAATTTATCATAGAAAACGATATAAACTTTTCTTGGATTCAGGAAATTGAGGAGATGCAGGGGAACTTCCAAATTTTATTGGCCATATGAAGAATTTAAAAAGTAAGGAATTTTTTTTGCTTACTTTAAACTGGATCTTTATGCCCTAAAATCGGTTTACAAAACCGAAGCCTCTAGCTCTGGTGGTAAAGGACCCTCAGCTGAGGTACCCGCCATCACGAGTTCAAGCCCCGGCCACTGCGGTATTCACATGCGGGCTGCAGCGTCCAGGAGCCGACACATGGAGTGCCATTTGGCCAACCACGTGGTCTGATGCGAACCGATAGTCTAACATGTGGACTCCTGCTCTGCCGGGTATCCGATAGCTAACACGTGGACCCCCTGCCCTGTCGGGAAGCGTTGGGATACCTGGGTTATCAAAAAAAAAAAATCGGTTTACAACTTATTTTGTTTTTTTTTTGTTGTGACCTCAGTTTTAATTTCTTAACTGGCAAGATTCCTTCGTCGTTCGCCAATTTGAAGACAGCTGATATCGTGTAAGTATTTGAATATTAGTTTAATTTATAATCTTTTCTTCTATCTGATCACAGAGATAATTTTGAAGTACTTCCTATGAGTTTCTTGACAGGAAACAAGCTGACAGGGGAATTCCAAATGAATACATGGCAAAAAACATAAATTTGTATTGGATACACATCTTTCTAATGTTCCATTGTGCTTGTTCAATGATGTTTGTTTTTTTGACGTGTAGAGATATATCTATGTCTTTTCTAACTTCCAATGTGCTTGTTCAATGATGTTTGTTTTCTTTTGATCATGTGCGCAGAGATTTATCTTACAATAACCTTACTCTTCAAAGTTCGATTCCTAATGGTGATTGCGACCAAGTTAATAATTTGTAAGTTTCTTTGAATAGTTGTTATGTTCGTAACACTCCATTCATACATTCTGGATCGAGAAACGATACCGTGGTGCTTCGTTTTTCAGGAATTTTGTGGAGAGCTTCTTCACGTGGAATGAATCGTAAGAAACAATATCTCCATATATATAGCACGAGTTATTTTAAATTTTATTGATCCATCATAGCATTCAACTTCATTCTAAACTCCTTATTTGAATAAAATTCTTTTAAATCATATCAACACCAAATCTCTACTCTTTTTTTATGTCCCAACACATCTATTTCTCCAATTGTTTTGGTTTCTGAGGATGAATATCACACAATACGGTAGCAATTTTTTATGTGTTTCTGAGTAATAAACTAAGGAAAAAAAACAATATAAAACAAATAAGAAAAAAGTAAGCAAAACAGAAGTGTAATATTGTATAAACAACAATAAAAAAAAGGGAAAACATACAAGTTGTAGAATAAATTTGAGATATTAAACAAAAGAAAGTAAACAGAAAATGGATGATTTTTATATATAAGATGTTATGGTAATTATTTAAATTTTAAAATATTGATAAATTATGCATCCTTAGGAAATATATTTACCTGCTAAATATTTGTTTGTATATAGCTTATAAATATAAGTATGTGAGATTGACAAGTATGTGAATAACACTATTTAAAATAGATATTAGTATATTTGATACATCTTTTAAAAAAGTATTTCAATACTAAATGTTTTTTTATATGTAGCTTATAAATATCATTGTATGAATAACGCTAATTAAAATAGATATTAGTGTATTTAGCTTTGAAAAAAAAAGATACATGTCAAAGGAGGGATACCACGTATTAGCTTTTCCGAGCTTAAGCTTTGTGGAAACCTTACTTTATTAACTAATGCGACTTATAAAGTCTTTCAAACAATAAACGGCCATCATCAGTACTCAACAATTTCGCAAAACTAAAAATTTTATTTTTAAATATAAGAATTATAAATCTTCTTCAATATTTTAAGAAAAAATAAATATTACGAAAGATTTGCTAACCACCAAATCTTAGGGCATACTGAACATACATCAGACTGCGAATCCATTAGACTCACTCACACTAGCATCTTTATCTAGTGTTAAAACTCAATCCTCAAGCCAGCCACAGCCAGACACAACCCTGCAGTATCATGATGGCTTTCCGGAGCTCTCCACCACTATTCAAGGTGGCACACAGTTCCCCAAATCTTCCTCAAGCACACCTAGAGGCAAAGCAAAATGTAGTCCTCTTAACCTCGTTGATAGCCGTGTCGTGTCTGCATCGTTTATCTATGGTTCTCCTTTGGCTGAAAAGAAGGAGAAGCAGAAGTTAGTAACCTATGATCACGCATCTGAAAGTGATAACTTCATTGAAGTCAAGAAAAAAGAGGCTGCAAATCCATCATACTCACTCGCACTATCACCTTCATCTAGTGTTAAAACTCAATTCTTAAGCCAGCCACAACCAGATAAAATCCTGCAGTATCATGATGGCTTTCCGGAGCTCTCCACCACTATTCGAGGTGGCACAGTTCCACAAATCTTCCTCAAGCACACCTAGAGACAAAACAAAATTTAGACCTCTTAACTTTGTTGATAACCATGTCGAATGTGCATGATCTGTCCATGGTGCTCCTTCGGCTGAAAAAAGGAGTAGCAAAAGTTAGTAACCTATGATCATGCAGATGAAAGTGATAACTTCCCCAAATCTTCAAGCCATCCACATCCAGACACAACCTTACAGTATCATGTCGGCTTTCCGGAGCTCTCCACCACTATTCAAGGTGGCATACAATTCCCCAAATCTTCTTCAAGCACACCTAGAGGCAAAACAAAAAATATAATTGTATCGAAGTGATAATAAGTTGTTGCAATCATTCGTATCTCTTCTATTTTTCTCAATAGACACCTATGTATTAAAAAATATTTTTGTTAATAGTAAAATAAAGTATTACAGCCCAACATTGTGACACGTGACTAAATTTTCCAAATATATTTAATTCCGTTTTTTTATAGGAACTTTTGTTGTGGATTCAGTTTGCAAATGTATTGTTTGTGTACAGTATATGAAGTATTGAAGCTTTAGGCCGAAAATAAAATAAAGTGTTAAAGCCCAACATTAAGACATATGACAAGTCCAATACAAACCCACAAATCCATTGTTGCTTAGCGCATGTAATTAGGTTAATCTAGCAAAACAGAGTCGTATATATAGACGTATTTAAACATCAATCATCAATGGAAACAATTTAGGGTTTCCGGCAACTCTCTTTCATCTTCAATTCTTCTTCATAAGAATGTGAAAATTGATTATCAAAAACAATAAATCATTCGGCCTATTGACTTGTACTTTGTAGCTTTGATTTGGACCTAACAATTGGTATCAAAGCTTCTATCTTGAAGCTCTGATACCAATTGTTGGAGTCAGATCAAAGTTTCAAGGTAGTAGTCAATTTGGCAGAAAATAAATTTCACTTAGGGTTTACCATCTTGATTTTGGTTCATTCAACTTCATAGTGTTTTCCATATGATAAGACTATAAGAGTGTTTTTGTAGGTTTCAATTGATATTCTTTTAACTTATAACACCATGTCTGAAATCTTCTTTATTCGATTCTTTGGACATCAATCCTTAAAGAATAAACTTTTGCTTAACCTTGGTTGATTTTGCAGGTTCAATATATTGACGATGCAACAGTGACCAGATGGATTCCAAGAACCATGGAAGCTAGGGAACAGTACTGAGTCCAGATTTGGATGGACTTGCGGAAAGAACCACATTATTTATCAGGACAGAATCTGGATTAACACAAAAAATGGTTTTATAGACTATTTAATTATTTAGTTATTTGATTTATCATTGGTTTTAGACTTAATAGTAATGTGGCCAGTTCCACACAACGACCAAGTATGTCAGATTATATCAGAAACAATTATATGAGAGACTTTTTTTTTTGTCAAGCACATGAGAGACTCGTATGCGGTAATTAATCTAATCTACAAATTGACGATGGCAATGTCCCAGACTTTCTTTGTTCTTCGACCTTTACAAATAAAAAAACAATTTTACAGAACGAAAAAAAGAGAGTAGAATTTTATCGGAGTGATAATAATTGTTATTCAATCTTAAATTTTTATTGAGAAACAATAAAATTTTACGAAAGATTTTTAGTGGTAACCAATTTTAAGACTTAATTCTAATTGTTAAAGCCCAACATTGTGAGTTTGTGACACATGACAAGTCCAATACAAACCCACATATCCAGTTTTTTTAGCCCATGTAATTAGGTTATTCTAGCAAATAGATTCATATATATAGACTTGTTATGAACATCAATTGAAGTAGTTTAGGGTTGCCGACAACTTTCTTTCTTCCTCAATATTCATTAGAATGTTGAAATTGATCAACAAAAACAATGAATCATTCTACTAGTTGACTTGTACTTTGAATCTTTGATTTGAACCTTTCATTTGGTATCAAAGCTTCCACATCTTTGAAGCTCTGATACCATGTGAAGGTTTCAAATCAAATCTTCAAGGTACTAGTCAACTTGGCAGAGAAAAAAAAATGTAGTTGGGATTTACCATCTTGATTTTGATGCATTTAACTACATAGTGTTTTGTAGATTTCAATTAATATCGTTTTCAAGTTATTGTTGTCCAATGTATCTTATAGCTAAACGATTCTATTGCTTAACCTTGGCTAATTTTGCAGTTTAAATACATTTAGAGTCAGGTTTGGATAGACTTTGCAGAAGAACAAAAGAATTTGTTTTATAAATTAATTAATTATTTAATTTATCATTGGTTTGGTTATAAGTACTATAACACAACAACTAAACTAAACATTTCTCATTATAACAGAGACTCTTAATGCTGTAATCTAATCTTCATATTGACAATGGCAATGTCCCAGACTTTCTTTGTTCCTCCCACTTATCAACCTAAAAAATAAAAGAAGTAGGATTTAATAGGAGTAATGATTATTCTTTTTTGAATCTAAATTTTTACTATGTAAACAAAAATATTACGAAAAATATGCTCACCAAATCTTCGGGACACATTGAACGTACATAATCTCTCAAGTTGTTGCAATCATAATCATCTCTTCCATTTTTCTCAATACATCTATGTATAAAAAATAATTTCATTAATATACTAATCACGCACTTTAATCATTTATTTAGTGGTAAGCAATTTTTAAAACTTACTTATGGTATTGCATGAACCGATTGAAACAATGTCGCGTTTCATTAGTTACCGGAAACCGTTCTTCCACAGCTGAATCCGTCTCTCCTCTGCTATCTCCGCCATCTTCTCCTCTCTTCGCTCGAAACGTTGCCTCGTTTTGAGGTGGTGGCGACACTGTGCCGGGAGTGTGAGCTGGTCTTGGCTCTTGCTGGCCTCTCGCGACTTTACTTATGTCGCGCGATCTCATCTTGTCGTGTGGATCCATTTGCTCTAACGACATCTCCGATTTGAGAATTTTAGTTTTGTTCTTGAATTACTTCATCTTTGCCTTCAACAGCAAGGTTTTAAGAACAGAGGATAGAGGCCACATCATAGCGGTCGAGATACACGTGACTTAATGGAGAGACTTGCATGTGTTTTTTCTTTTGGTATGGTCAAAATTTGGGTGCTTTGCCTAAGTAACGTTTCAAGTGTTGATACTATGGGCCTAAATAAAGCATATTAGTCTACTCTTTAAGGTATGGTTGGCCCAACATGAAATGACCTAAAGTATAATATCGTTTGGGATAAAAGTTATCCTTCTAAACTCAATTAATTATCTCCTCTTAGTAGTTTTTATTTTCAAATTTCAACTCTTTGATCTCACGTTGTTAAAATTTTCAGTAGAACTGTTTAGCATGTAACATTAGGCTAAGAATGTTGTCGATTAACAATCCCAAATGTTTAATTTAATGTATGGTTACAAAAAAAAAAAATCAATTTATTTTTTAATTTTGTATTTGATCTTATATCACTTAAAAATTGATTAATCATTTTGATGATTTTTTTAATGTGTAGCACTTTTAAAACAATTGATTTTTTTTTGATAAACCATATAGGTTGATCCGGTCAGCCCCGGTAGGAATGCATCGAGGTGCAACAGAGTAGACTACTCTCGTGGTTCAACGGTTCAACGACTCAACGGACACCATGAGCTCCTAGCAGACTCGGATCGAACGGGCCATGAGATTCATGAGATCCATGAGATCCAGAATTGGGCTACCACACTGCTTCATCCGAGTTTGGAGTGCTTTTCGACTAATGTCAGGGGGTAGTTAGGCCGCCTGCATTTCTGACTACCAGGTAAACCAATTGGGCCAAGGTCCAACTGACAGACTTCCCAAACAAATGTATTTTTGTTTCCATGGAGGATCGAACTCAGGTCTGGGAGTTTCACCCTTCCCCAAAGCTTCCTCTGCCACTAGACCACAGATGCTTGGGCTTTTAAAACAATAGTTATGATAAAGAATTGTTTTTTGGACATAAGAGGCTTTAACTAATCCTCAAAACTTGTTGATCATAATGTATTCTTGTTGTAAAATTTCTAGAGACTAGATATGATAAATAAATAGCGGAAGCTTAATAAACAATAAAGTAATAAACGAGATGACACGAGATTTAACGAGGTATCGATTGGTTCTCTTTCAAACCAACCACTAGTCCTCGGCTGCAAACAAGTTTATTAGATAACTTTAAAAAGATAATACAAGATAGAAATAAAACTTCTACACAAGTTTTAACACATCTATCTAAAAAATGATCTAAGATGTCACGAGTAAAACATTTACTCCCCCTTAATCATGGATGTCTTCTTCTTGCAAAAGTCCTTGCTCCGTGCTCCTCACAGCGGCAGCAACCTCTTCCCAAGGTTATCTCTCTCAAACTAAACAGCCACACAACACTTGAATAATGAACTCTGTTTTCTGTTTCTCTGTTTTAACAGTGTAGCAAGTGTGTTTTGAGAAGAAGCGTCTTCTCCCTTTTATTCACCACCAACGTATCTTCTCATTAACCTGCAATATCTTTTTCCTTTTTCTCACAAGGAAAAAAGAGCAAATACAACTTGCACAAGAACGTTAGAGAATTAAAACACACATAAAAAGGAAAGTCAAATTCTCACATTATCAAGACTTTCCAAGAAGAAATATATCAAATTCGCAATTAATAAGATGACATAATTAATTCATAAATCAAAATAATATTCTTAGAATTAAAGATTCTACACTTGTCATTTAAATACACAACAATGGTCGATATAAAACCACATATGAAAAGATTTGAACGAATTTCTCTAACTTCAGCCAAAAAAAAAAAACACTAGACGACTATAATTTTTTTTTAAGTAGTTTTAAATTGTGTATGATATATTTCACTTTCATAGGCTAATTCCATGATCCATGTTTAAGGTTTTTTCTTTTCTTTTCCATTATCCCTAATTTTTTAACAGCACTTCGAACATATCCTCAATAAATGAGATAGCTTAGAGCACTATATATTATGTGGATTTGTTATAAATATAATCAACCGATCAGTGTATAAAAAGGTAGGTGATTGTTGGTCACCTATTCATAAACGAAAACAAACGAATTGTTTTATGGATTAATCACATCTCACTTACCACTTAGCTTACGATTATCACTATAAGTTAAAAATCAATTAAATTATTACATTCTATCTTTTTTTTTATTATTCTTAATATATTTAAAAATTGTTGGACAATCGGACGAAACAATTTGCGTGGTGTGAGTGGGTTTGGCAACATCATGACACATGCTTGTTCCAGAATTGTTCCTTTTTATATTTATTTTATAGTAATACTAATAGTACTATTACATGATTACAATAACAAAATGACAACATGACGAACAATGTGGATTTTAAAATTTTGTGTCACGTTTCTAACAAGTTCTAGAGAATCCAACGGCCAAGATTACACAATCGGCAGCAATTATATGCCGTTTGGGACAATCGGATGGGCAAAAGAAGATGACGATAAGTCGATAATGAGTCCCACAAAATGCCCATTAAAAAGCTTAAAAAGCCCACTCTCAGTACAAGTAGATGCCGTTGGACTCTGTCTTTCCTTTTTCTTTATTCCTCCAAAACAACATCATTGGCTTCGTCCCTTTCGAGCCATTATCGTCTGCCAATTAGCAGTTTAGCACAACATGTTAAGTCACCGCACGTGCACAACTCAGGTTAACATTTGTTTGTTTTTCTAGGTCCTTTTTAGTTTTATTAAGAAGAAAAGGAAGATAGTAGTCGAGTAAGGTTCGAAGGAACTAACCCAGGTTCGATCCACGCTGGAAATAAAAAAAACACATTTGTGTGGGAAGTCTGGGCTTGGGCCTTTGGTCCAAACAGTTTACCTGGTAGTCCAGTAACAGGCGATCTGCCTACCCCCTGGCATTAGTCGGAAAGCATTCCAAATTCGGGACAGACAGTGTGGTGGCCCTTCGGGGAGAAGTCCACTCTGAAGCACTTCGGTGCGTTTCTACCAGGGCTGACCGTATCAGCCGATAGGGTTTATCAAAAAAAAAAAAAAAAGATAGTTCAAAACTCAAAAGAAACACAAAAGCCACCGGACCAAGGGTTTTGTCACGCCGAATATATAAAAACTAGAATAAACTGAAACCAAATGGAGCTCTGTCTTCTACAAAATGATAAAAGAGCGATCATGGTCATTAGATCATGAATTCATGTCGGATACCTTGTTGGATATTCTGCCGCGACTTAAAAACTCGTCGAAAATCGTTAACTACACTCTTGGCAATCACATAGATCACTTTAGTTTGTAGCCGGTGATTCAGTGTCTAGATCCATTCCACAAACGTTTTCAATCATGCGTTAAAGATTCAACTAAGATTTTTTAAAAATCATTAAACATATAGTGTTATATATATATATATATAATTCACGGTAAATCCTAGATCTATAGAATGGCCAGACTAATTTCTGGGAGAAGTGCAGCCTACAGATAGATCATTTCTCTGGATATTCAAATGGACTGTAAGCATGGATCCATATCCGTATGGGTGTCCAGAAGAAATGTGTTGAAGTTTCGCATAACAGGTGGATCAAACTTGAAGCGTGTTGGCATCGCAAGCCCGTCTCCTTACCACAAGTCCCGCAGACAAATGTGTTATTTAAGACTGAAAAAACTTTGAAAATTTTCGTATATTAAATTATTTGAAATATTACCGATGAATTTTTATAAATGTTACTAAAATCATTGTTTATATGTACTTGTTTATTTGGCCTCATGTACTGATTTCCCCTGTAAATGTCAATAGTAATGAGATCAACTAATAACGACATCTTTAAATTGGGAAGTCGATTCTATAGTCAAATACATATAAAGGTGAGCGAAATAAATCTCTTTTTTCTCTCTATTCGCAGATCCCTTGCCATGAATGGGTTTGGTTATATGCACACACTTTTCAGAAAAATACAAGTTGATTGATATTTAGTAGAAACTGAAAAATGAGATAATGTGAACAAAAAAACAAGAAACAAGTACATCGAAAGTAAAATGCCCTTTATTCCATTCACATTTATCACATACTTATTACTATTGTCTTTTCCACAACACTATTCTACATTTACATATTTGCCCATTGAGCCCAAAATATACAGGCACAAGTATTCATTTCATGCCTCATTCTATCATCTTTCCCACTTTTTTAACCCTTTTAATATCTACACAATACTATGATGTTAAGCTTTTATTTTACATTGTTTTATATACCATTATAGATATATATACATATATATACCCCGAAACTACTAGTGATGGTTATTAGCATAAGACTATACATTACCATTTTCTTAGTATTCTATGATTAGTCCTCCAAAAGGAGCACGGTGAGGGATTCCCTTCCTTCGTTTTGCAATTCGGCGATTCACGGCTGATAGAGGCGGTGTTGATGGCATGAAACCATTATTCATAATGTCATCATTCTTCTTGAGCCTTCCGATACTCGTACTACTATACGAATCATCGGAATCCGAAAGATTATTCGTCCATTCCTTTCTTTTCTTCTTCGATATTCCAGAGATCTAATCAAAAACATTATAAGATCAACATAAGTATTTAAGTTGTTGATAGGGTTATCTTAGTAATTATCTCCTATAAACAACAAATAGGAAGATGTTACAATCCATTAGAAAAGTAATGAAAATGAAAAGACCTTTAAAATGAAGTGTTGCTTAAGGACGAAGCTTTTTTTTAATTGACTTGGAATTTTCTCCCCTACTTTCTCGTCAACCCAAATGCTATTATTATTTTTCAACTCCAAAATTTCTTGAAGTTGCTATCATTACCCCACATTTTAGCCCACCCAACAAGAAAAATCTTTTTTTTTTTTTAAGTCCTTTTCTCAATTCCCCATCAAACAAGGATTAAAGAATAAATGACGTTCTAATTACAAAATCAATATTAATAAGGAAAATTATTGAATAGTAGTTAGTTTACCTATTCAACTAAGTTTAGACTTATTCTATTTTTCTTCTTCAAATAGTATTTGGTTCATTACATAGACCCAAAATAGCTACACATATTTATTTATTGAGTTAACTTTCTCCACAAGTAAATATATATTTACCAGACCAAAAATTTGACATTTATGTTACATTTTTTACCGGGTTATACTTGATTTTCCCGCATTTTCTCACCCAAACATAGAAATTTCTTTTACTTTCTCAATTCTCTCAACCAAACCAACACACAACTAACTCCTAAAAGCATTAAAGATCAAAGACAATAATGTTTTTTCACTCAAATCCAACAAAAAAACGTTTTTTTTTTTTGTTACCTTGCAACCAAGAGAGCAGAATCTGAAGGAATCAACGAGGCTTCGATAACAGACTTCGCAAGTATTGATCACACCTTTGCCTGGTCTAGGCTGAGGTCTCTCGTTCAAGAACACAACCTTAGCACTGTTGATCACATATGTCTGAACTCCTGTTATGTCAAGAAACTTCTGAATCTCCGACACTCTTATAACATCATGATACGAAGATCTCCTTATCTGTAACAAACAAACAAAGCTCGGAATCAAAACACTCTCTTGTTTCTTTCTCGCATTTTCTTTGAGAAAGTTTTCCCGAGAATCCCGGAATAATAAATGGAAAAAAAAGTTAGATCACCAACCAAACTAACAAAATCTGGATTTAACCACATGTTTATTTTCTCTCTCTCTCTCTCTCTCTTGGTAAAAAGGTAAAAAGGTAAAAAGTTTATATGTAATTTGAAAGTGAAAAGAATCTAACAGAAGAAAAAACGAACCTGAATAGCGTGATGATCTTTGTGGAAAGAGAGACATAGAGAACAGAGAGGACCATTGGTACAGTCTAAACAGTACATGTTACACTCACTCTTATGTGAATCTGCGTGTAATTTGCATTGTACGAAGAATTTTTCTCTAAGTAGAGGTTTTAGCCATGGAGGCCATGTCTTATTGGTTTCTTCTTCAGCTCCCTGTAACACAAAAGAACCATAAAAAGAATGAGAATCAAACAAACCATGAAAACAGAACAGAGTCGAGTTTTGAAAGAATCAAATCAATTTGGGAGGAAAAAGATTCGAGTTTTGAGAGAACCCATTAGGTAAAAACGAATAAAGATTGATCAGAGCTAGAAAAAAAGAGTTCTTGATGGAATTTGAATCGATCTTTGAAGTAAAAAAACAGAGCATTTATGATCAAATTAAAGAGAACCCATTTGAAGAAAAAAAACAGAGACTTTAACAAATTTTGAATCTTTCTTGTATTGTGATTACCATAATGATTCTTGTGTTCTTGGGTTTGATTTCTCTGACAGTAGCTTCTTGATGATTCTCTTCGATCGCTAGTTTTTTTTTTAGTGAGAGAAAGAAGAAAGAGAGTGAAGAGAGAGAGAGAGAAGTGTTCGTGTAAAAAGAAGAGCGAAGAGTCGTTCTTATCCGCACAAAAGTCGACTACTCCGAACCTAAAACCGAACCAAGAGTCCGAAGCTGAGAGAGACTTTGTTTTTGGTACGGAGGGTTCAATGAACCGAACCCATCCTTCCCACTTTCCTTCTTTCTTCTTCTCCTTTTCACATTTATTATTTGTTTTATGTTTAACTAGGTTTAAAACCCGCGCTACGCTGCGGGGTAGTTTTCTTTAATTATGTTTAACTCTAATTTAGACAATAAAGTTATTACTTAAAATCTAATTTTATACTGTATAGTCTAAGCCATGCTCCATTTACACATGCTTCCTTCTAATGTACCCATACACGATCCTATTGTAATTTTGATCCACCAAAAACATTACATCAATAATTCATAACAAGGAGTAGAAACGTTTTCAGAGATAAAAACCTCATTAAGATACCTACACTCATTAAAATGAAGCTAAAATTTTGGATTGAGCTTATAGTTGAAAAGAAATTGGAATTAGCCACCAAAGGATCCACTTGATGAGACTCAAACACATGTAATGTGTACGACACGGAAGGAGGGAGATGGCTGATCTTGAAGCTTGTACCATCATGTGATTCCTCCTCAAGCTGCTCCTTTTTATGCTCATGATCTTTATCTTTCCCAATTATGCTTATTACATCACAAAATGAGACAGATTACCGAACATTATTCCTTGGCGATGGATTGATCTTGTAAACGGTGTCGGTAACATAAAATGTTTCGAATCTTTTGATCCTTCTCGTTCTGGTTATCTTTATCTCCAAACTCAACACGATTTCATTCTCTACCAATTGAGTGGTATATATCGTATTATGAATCTCCACAGATCCAAATTGATTAATCGAAGCTCCAATCAATGTCAACATCACTCATTACTTCCCACACGTTTGTGTAACTCCCGCCAGCCTTTTGTTCAGTTTCTTCAGTGATTTTAACAGCAAGCTTCCTCACCTTTTTACCGGGTGAAAATTCCTTGGGTTCATTCTCAGATTTTAACAATTCTGAAATTCTCATGTACTTTGGCTTCTCCTTAAACTCAAACAACTTATCTATGTATTTATTAGATGCCTCGTTCAGGCATGGCTCTGATTCTAAGTTAAGTTATGTCTCAAATGTCAAAAGCAATATACGTATTGCCAATTAACAAAACAATCACAAGAGTTTTTGTGCAGTGCTTGAGATTGTTTCCTTGAAATTCAGAATTACAAAATATTCTCTATGGTACAAAGTACCTTATTCTATCTTCAAGTTAAAAAAAAAAAACACAAAGGAGAAGAGCCAAATTCATACATTTTCAGCCTAGAACTGCAGAGAGACACAAGTTTACTTTAGTTATGTCGTGTGCAATAATGATCTTAACTCAATGCTCAGATCTTAACTCAATGCTCATAGATATTTGATTACATTGCCTATATGAAAATGAATATCACACAGTATTTGTTCAGGTTACAATTCAACTGCACCAATCCAAAACAATGATGTCAAAATCAACAAGGAAATCAGAGACACTCCATAATTACAAAAGGTTTGGTGCATTGCTTGAGATTGTTTCCTAAAAATTCAGAATTACTAAACAAAAATCACAAAGCATGAGTCAATTCATGCATTTCTAACCTTCAATTGCAGAGTAATGTACAATGACCTTAAACTCAATGGCCTACATGCAATTGAATTTCACAGTACTTGTCTAGGCCACAATCAATTACACCAATCTAAAAGATTTGAGAACTCCAATAGACCATATGTATTATGTTTAAATTATTATTTTTCTTTACCGCAGACATATTTTTTCTTTTAAACACACTATGCAAACTGAGAAAATATGACTTATGATCAAAAGTGTTCAACCTCAAATATTTTCAAGACACCAAGAACTCTAATCAGATATGTGTTCCCTCTCTTTTCACTAATGATGTTGATAACAAAACAACGATCCTTCTGCTTTGCTAAGAGGGTTTTTTAGTCTTTAGATCATGACCTTCTTCATCAAAAGAAAAGTATCCCTAATTCGAGAACTTTTTTCTTCTAAAAATAATCATTTTGGACACATCAATTGAGTAACATATCAAATCAACCCAACTCATTCTATTGTCACAATGTCACATAAGCAAATATGTATATGTACCTAAGTTTTGGAGCATAAGCGAGTCCCCGGTGAGGTTCTTGCGGCATCTCTCCTTCGATTTGTGGTTAGATGGACATCAATTTTGATTTCTTTAGCCTTGTAAACTTGCCTGCAAGACCAAAGCCAAATATGGAATTTGAATTCAGAAGAAGAAAGAAACTAATGCAACTGATTCATTCATACACTAATCACTCAATTCTGATTTCTTTACCATGTCTTAAAAATCAAAGAATCCCAATTTACTAAATCAACAAAACTGTATCAGACAATCGATCTTTATGGCATAAATATCTGAATACAAAGCATTGATCAATACCCGAATCTATACAAAACCCATAATTCTAAGACATGGTTTCTGGTGGGAACAGGCGGGCCGGATTCTTCAGTTCGACTCGGATTTTCATATCGTTTTCCTTCTGATTCTGAATATCAATTGATGATGCAACAGAGAAAAAAATTCCGTCTCGTTCCTTTTTCAAGAAAGCTTAATAGGAGTTACTCAACCGAATTCGGATTTGAGCTAACGTCGTGGCGAGTTTTTTGGTTAGGGTTTGTAATAAATATTCGCCGGAATTTGATGGCTGGGGAGAAGAAGAAGAAAAAGAATGACATTAGAGTCGATTCTGGAGGAATCGTAGAGAAACCGTTCCCGAGCACAATTCTGCGAAGAAAAAGAAGATGAAGAAGACGAAGAACCGAGAGAATAAATATGGTTTTGCTGAGGGAAAATAAATGTTACACGTTGGCAAAGATTGAGCTGATGTGTATTAATTGAAATGTTTTCATTGGACGACGATTTTAATGACGTGTCAACCTGAGAACATCCCAAAATGCTGAGGTGTCAGACCTGGAGAGATTCTTATTGTTATTATTGTATTGATTAATCTCCATGTCTTTAATTTTTCTTTCTTATTCATTACTTTTTAATTGCACATAATGGGAAATAAATCAAAAATATGAAAATATCTAATTCAACAAAAGACTAGTTCGAGAGACAGAAAAGAAATTCACCCAATCTAATCAAGAAAAGTAACTGTTTTGGATCGTCATGAATGAATAGTAACGTAATTGTAGTTCATTTGATTAATGATTTTACACGTTTGACACTACTTTACACTGTGTTAATTTTTTTTTTTTCATTAAAAAAAAAGCCTTTGACTGAGAGTTCCGTAGAATATTTTACTTCCAATTTAAATTACATATTAAAAAATACATTTTAAAACAAGAACAACAATGTTAAAATTCCACAGAATTTTGAAGAGGTGAGTAGTATAACTTGAATTATTTTCGTGCATATGTTTTTTTTGCCATTGTTAAATTGTGGGGCGAAATGCCACATACAATTTTAAACAAGATCGTTTGATTTATCAAAAACAAAAATATCGTTTGATGAAATTTGATCTGAATAATGTACAAAAATTTTTTGTCAAAACAATTTTGATTTCATTCAAAATATCAAATGGATTACAACAATAGATATAAGTTCAATGAACATTAAGATTAGTACAATAATGGTGAGAGCATTCAACAAAAGTATACATAAACAAGATAAAAGAATTTTTATCCAAAAGAGCTTGAGTTTGACAAAAAAAAAAAAAAAAAAAAAAAAAAAAAAAAAAAAAAAAATCCAAAAGAGCTTGAAAACATGAGTTATAAAGCATTTTGCCCCAAGCGAGAGAGTCGTGAGTTAAATGCACATCGACGAACAATTCGGATAGTAGATTGATCACTTGACATTGGCAAAGTGACGTTGAGAAGGAGATCATAACCTAGCCGTGGCGAAAAACGCTACATCTTCAAATCCCAAACAAACCGCTACAGAAATAATAAACTAGTTAGGATACTTAATAATTTTTTAGTAATTTGATGGAAAGGTTTTTTCTATGTAGGAAGAGAGGAAAAAAGTTGATCTCTCCGTAAATGAAGAATTTGACAATAATTAACCCTCTTTTGTGGAGGAATTTGAAACTAAGATTTGAAGTTCTAAAATATAGATCGGAATCTCTTCGAATAGGCACGAAGACTTTCACTGAATCCGGAAGCCAATCGAAATCAACACAAAATTAGTTGGAAAATATGAATAATGTATAAACATGACTTAAAAATGGAATTTTATATTAAATCTAAGTTTGGTGTAAACTAGGTGCGTGGTTGAATGACTAATCTCTAATGTAAGGTTGGAAATTCCCCCTCAGACTCTATAGGAGATATGTATAGTTGAGTTTTGGGTCAAATCTTATATTTAACCATGAATGGACATTGGGTTAAGTTTCACCCATCCAAATGACCATGGGATTATGGGACCAAGTTGGATCAAAAAAAAAATCAAGATCAAATCGAAGTTCATATTGGTTCGTAGAAATCTAAATGTTCGGTCAGAGGCTTAGCCACAATTAGATGGGATGATCGAGTGGCTAAGTCATAATTAAAATGGTTTGATCTAAGTAAATGGTTAAATCTCTCTTTAAAAAACACCTCATTTTCACAACAAATACATGTTTGTTCATTTTTTGCATGAATTTTACCACTTACCATCGAGTAATTGAATCCAATTTTTCTACAATAATTAGTTCAACAATAAAAAAAAAAAACCAAAATGAACAAAACAAATAAAAATTTGGTTTTGGAACTAAGTTTTTATTTGGTTAGATATATAAGATAAACATTTTTACCATCAACAATAAACTTTTTATTGTTATTATTATTATTATTGTAATCTAATATTAAATTAAATTCAAAGTAAAAATGACTGTTTTACAACGAGTGCAGCGTTTAGGTAAAAGACTTTAAGCTAAGTTGCTAACAGAAACATGGTTTTAAATTCTAGATAC